AATTTTTATCATTTTTTTCACACAAATAGAGATTTCTTTTGGTGGTATTTAATCACCACTGAGTTTATCTTTTGCAAAATAAAACAAAAAACACCTGAAACTTGGAAAAAAAAAAAACAAAACCCCCCCCCAAAAAAAAACAAACAAAAAAAAAAAAAAAAAAAAAAAAAACATACTTTTGTTTCTGTTATAAAATTTTGCAAATAAATAACATTTCTTCATAAATTTAGGTCAACATGTATTCTGCTACATTTCTTTGGTGAAAATAATAATAATAATAAAAAATTTTTTTTTTCAAATGTTTCTATTTTATTACATTTTTTCTTTTTTTTTACTATTTTATTTTTCAGCACACTGGGACCAAAGCAATACAATGTTATTATAGTAACATTGAACTACTCTGAGCAAGTGATCAGGAATTTAATTTTTTTTAAACACATTATGATTGCTAATACCAATGTATTTCAGTGATATTTGCAATCATTGTTACTGAATGAAACTGATTCAGTGTTTTTTTGTGATTAGCTATGATTGGGCAAAGCTGATCACATGACACAGATGGGCTGTGATTGGCCCTGTCTGTATCATGTGACCGCCTTGACCAGTCACAGTTAACATAATTGTATACAATGGATGGCATGACAGGAAGCCATGCATTGTATACAATTAACATGTGATCTGCTGTGATTGGTCACAAGACACTGGCAACGGGCCGGTGTAGTGATATATCACTGGCTGTGTCACGTGGACACAGCCAGTGAGAGATCGCGCTGTTGCGCAGCCCCGGGAACAGCTCGTTTTGACAGGACACCATATGACGCCCAGTCACAACGGCAAGTGTCCCACCCGGCAGTCAATCTGCTATAGGCCAGGTGGGAAGGTGTTAATGTGACACTATTGTGAGACATGTATGGGGGCTGTCACTGCTGGACCTCCTTCAAAAAATACCATTAGAATGGCTTGAATATTTGATTTACAGACCCAGAAAAAGCAAACTGTAAATGATCATTAGAAAAGTGTCAATTCCTTATTCTATATTTTCTACATGATGGACTCAAAAACCATTAAAGCACCACCAGCATGTCAACCAGAAAACTAACATATTGAAAATTTAGGTCAGCTGTGGCAGGTCCCATACTTTTCTCATGACAGGATGAGAACCCTTAAGTGGGCAGGATGCCACATAGAGCAAAACTACACTGTATCTGTGCATCACAAACCAAAAGCGCTTTGCAACTCAATCTTGTCTGGAATTCCTGTTGAAAAACAGCAGTGCATATCCTGGTATGCTAGTGTGCCTAGACACTCCTGCTCCTTGAGCCTCCAAGCTGTGCAGCTGCAGCGTGAAATCTTAGGCACTGCTGATTCTGACTGCTAGTATCAGGAGACTTGGAGTAAGATTTAGTAATGTCACTACAGCTTTTACTACTGTTGCCATTGTTAAGAGGCTCTGACATTAGGAAGCAATGCCTTGCTTCAACCAAAGTGGTCACCTGCACGCAGAGACACAGTGCATGAAAAGGCATTTTAAGTCAGTAATGGGAAAAGACCAGTTGCAGAGAGACCACAGACAATACAGGTGACTAGTCATTTGCACTTCGCTTGCCTTTGTTGGGTACAGCTTCCAGAGTCCAGTTTCTCTTTAAACATCACATGACTTTGTCCAGCCCTGAGTGTACGTACGTATATACACACACACACACACACACACACACACACACACACACACAATGTGTACATTTCTGTAGGGTGTTCTCACCGGATTGCAGCTTCCTGGAGTTTTTTTGGCTGTCGAGCGCTCAGGTACAACATGCAAGAATCAATCACGTCCAGCAGATCGCGGTCTCCTAGAGGACAAAACAATCTGTTCACTGGCTGCTCAGCACACATAGTATCAAACAGTTACAATATATACATCAGATGTGAAGATATCTCCCTTAGGTCAATTGGTTCATAAAAAATATTGAAGTCAAACATAGCAAGTCAAAACATACCAATGAAGCATGGCTTTGACTTCCTTTGAGTTTTCTCTGCATTCCCATTGACTTATATTTAAATGCAAACAATTGTAAGCAATCCCTTAAACACTTCCCATGTTTTGTAAAATTTCAGGGTCAGACACTACAGTACATTCCCATACATGACAAGTTGTCAGCAAACACCAAAACAAGTGTAGCAACCAATTAGTGTCTATTTTCAAACTTCTAGTACATGAAAGAGAAGATACAGTATGATTATCCAGTAAGAAAAGGCGATCCAGATTTATGTTTGGCCTGCTGTTTTCTGTGTTGCTGAATCCCAATGTCTGAAGAATGTTTCTCCACTTTGAGTATAACCTTAGTCACACCAGGCCATAAGTCTCATGGGGAAGTACAAAGCAACTTCATTATTTGTGTCATTAGAATTATTTCTCAGTTAGATAGTCAGCTGGAAACTAATTTTTTTTTTTTTTTTTTTTTAAGTCCGCAAACGTGGAAGTATACCGAAAAAACCCGTAAGTGTTCACAAAAAGGTGCAAATGCAAAACACCACACAAAAAGTGCACTTAAGGGTGTGCTTTTGTCCTACCCCCGAAGGGGTTGAACCGCTACCCTGATCCCCCGGGGCACGAAGCTCCTGACAGGGACAAGGTTCCCATTTTGGTCCTCCTGGCCAAAAGGCCTGGTGGACCACCGTTCCTTATGCCCAGCCGAAGCCGGACATCCAGTACTAGGCCAGGGGGTTCTCCCAAAGAGAAAACCCCCTAGGGACAGGGGAGGAAGGAACCATAGGGCCACACATCCTCCCCCTAGACTTCAGGGCAGGCCCGAGGACCCACACCCTCCATCCTGTGAGAAAACACACACACAAAATTAAAAAGTGACAAACGTGGGTGAGGAAAATAAATAAATAAATTAAATAAATCTATAAAAAATAATAAAAAGTGTCGTGCCCAAATTGTGCACTGACCAGACCCTGAGGCCTGTAGCAAAAAAATTGCCCAGAACTTGACCAAAAGGCCCGGTCCTAGAGGCGCAGTGCAAAAAGTGTTTAAACTCGGTGACCATGTGCTCATTTGCAACGTGGGGTCCCACACCCAAGTGCTACTCAGAGCACCCCTGAGGCGACTACTCAGGGGGCACCGTGTTTGCGGACTCTCTGCCTTCCCAACCCCTGGCCAGACCAAGGTAGATCCGTCCAAATCAGGAGGTACTGGGTCTTTCCAGCTTTCCCAGAGGAATTACTCCCAAGGCCCCAGAACGAATCATGGCGCTCCCTGGTTTCTGTCCCTCCGGTCTAGCCTTCTGGACCCCCATCATACCAGTGAGGGTACTATACAACAGCCATCCCCGCAAAGCTAGAATGGCCGGGAGCACCCCCACTGGACACTGATAAGAACAGATACTACACTTGATCTTAGCCAAAAGGCCGAGAAGCGAAAGCGAGAGTCAGCTGGAAACTAATGGCAACCTATAGTAGCAGGGGAAATCGGTATCTTTAAGAGTGAGAAAGGGTTAGACCCCTTGTCAAGTTTTTAATGCTGTCTGTCCCCTTTGGGGAGATTTACCCTGCTATTTGTACTGGTGACCATTGTTGCTAAGAAAGAAATTCAGGGTAAATCCAAAATGTTAGAATTGTTCCAAGAACAAATGCTAAGGGGAAATCATCAGGGACACCTGCTCCAGAGACAATTGTCTGGGGGTGGGACTCCCCCCACTTTAGGTTTGCTCTGACTTCCTGTTGCCTCTTTGGGATAAGAAGAGAAGGGAAATTTCCCAAAACACAAATTGAAAATATAGGTTTTGACTGTACTTAAAAAGGAGGACAAAATAAATGTAAGAGGGAAATGATACTTCCCTCTATGTCCCTGAACAAAGTCATGAAGTGTTCATCCAGGAGAGCTCTAGGACTGATGGTCTGCACTTTGATTTCCCTGTCTGCAGGATACTTTTCCCACAGGTGAATGTGGGGTAACAACTTGCAGAGAGGGATTGAGATACAGGTCTAATTCAAGGCTGCTAATTGGGTGAACACTCTTTACACTTGAAAATTCCTTTAAAACAGCATGCTCCTTATGTATAGAGGTGTCACTCCTTCCAGCTTTTATTTGTGATGCAGAAGGAACTTCCAGACATGACCGATTTGCTGCATTAATATCCTTTCAGGTGAGTGCCTATGCTCAATTTTACTATGTGTTATTAAAACAACTCTTTCTCTATAATAAATATATAAAATAAAGTCCTCCATGTAAGAAAAGAGCTGCAGTTGCCTGCACCGCTTGTCTCTGCAGCAGCGAGGAGAAATTGCTGCCTGAAGAAGCATCAGACTTCCGGAAGTGTCAGATTCCTGGTCTCCTGCGGTGCTTAGTGGTTTAAACCACCAGCCCCCATGTCACTACTATGTCCTGTAGTGATGCAGTGGCCAGCAGGAGAAACCAGAATGCAGTGGGGGGACCAGTAATTCCAACATTCCTGCATGTGTTGAATTTTGAGGATTCTTCTGGTGGCTGTTTCTCTTCAGAGCAAATATCAGTTGCGTAGGCAGAGGAAGAATGGATTACCAGTCTTCTTTGTGGAGAGGACTTTATTTTATATATTTATGTCAATGACTAAGTCACTTTAATTGTCCAGTGTAAGCCCCACCCTTTCTTGCAGGGGGTCCTATAGATCATAGAGGAACTGTAGAATGGTGAGAAAGCCAGTTCAGACATGTTCCCCTTTACAAATATGGATCAGTATGAAAATCCGCTGGCAATGAATGCATCTAATCCAGGACTTTGAAAATCACACAGAATAGGAGAGGCATGCAGAAAAGTTACATAGTGTCATTTTAGCTTGCAGAATTCAGTAATAATAGCAGAATTTAGCTCTGAGCTAGGCAGCCAAGTACTCACCCAATGCCAAATCCACACAAAGGGTCCCCAATCCTTCCAGTACAGCTAACTGCAGTTTAAAGCCCAACGTGTGGCTGTATACAGGCCCGGCGTGACAGCTAACAAGTGCCTGAGAGCGTAGGGACATCAAAAAGGCAGGAAGGGCATCCTTGCACACACGTTGCTGCAGGAAGTCTTTACATGAGGAAGCAAGAGACACTAACACCTGGAAAAGGAGATGGCCATTTAAAAAAACGTGAGAGACATAAGATATCTGGATTAGATCACAGTGCTCCTACTGTCAATACCTGCATTTTACTTCTTGCACAGCCAATACCATCTATATTCAGGCATCAACCAGAATCAGCTGTGTTGTGTGCAAGCAGGTAGTTTGACACAGATTAGGGAACAAAATGATGGTATCTTGCTGAGATATAGAACACAAGGGTGCGGCGCTACCTTGCTGAGGTACAATCATTTTCCCGGAGCTCAAGAAACATTCGCTTTTTAAAAACCGAAGATGCAGCTCTTTGCTGTATGTGTAAAATCTATTTGTGAAAAAGAACTACTCAAGCTGCAAGCACACACAGGGGTTGATTTACTAAAACTGGAGAGTGCAAAATCTGGTGAAACTGCATGGTAGCCAATCAGCTTCTAAAATTCAGATTGTTCTTTTAAAGGAGTAGTACAGCCAAAACTCACAAGAGTTCAGTTCGTTCTGCATTCCTGTTTCCCGTTTTCTGCTAACAGCGGGCTAAAGCCCACTGTCAACAAAAGAACCCTCAAAGTGATTCAGTAGCGCAAAAAATATATATATGCATGTGAATAAATGAATAAGTAAGTGATCATTCAACATAAGTGAAAAATAAAATAAAAAGTCAATAAAATGTCTTTTCCGCCAAATGAATCTTCTAATTTCCAAAAAGAAATCACCACGTGCAAAAGGATGGCATCCCCCTTTTGGATATGCACTCTCCGGATAGCCATGCCTCCTATTCTCATGGTTGGCTAGAATTGCTTATAAAGTGAATTCAAATGGGAAGGAAAATCAACCAAAATCAATATTGTTACACTCCTCTCTGTTTATCCTTCAATCTCCATGCCTGTCATTCCCATGATCAGCTGGCACCACTTCACAGGTTAACAGATTTCTAATAATGAGGAACTTATAGCAAAATGGATTACGCTCTCCTTCTTAATATCTCTCTCTCTCAGGATTAGTGGTCATGTAGAAACAAAAAAAGAAATAACCCAATGGTGCAGTACAAAACACCTTTAATTGCTATAAAGACAGCCACTTAAAAATATAAGCAGATAAAAAGCCCATAGGTGTTGCAGTGAGATGTAAAACACTGGTTGGTATCAGGCAATGCTCTCACCAGTACCGGATCTCAAACAATGGCGCTCCTGCATCACTTCCAGTTCCGTCACTTCCGGTCACGGCACAGTCTCGCTCTGACACTTTGTCATATCCGACTTAGTCATAGGGTACCCTATGACTAAGTCAGGTATGACGAAACGCGTCAGACGAGATCTCACTGCAGCACCTATGGGCTTTTTATCTGCTTATATTTTGTAAGTGGCTGTCTTTATAGTGATTAAAGGTGTTATTTCGTCCTGCACCATTGGGTTATTTCTATTTTGTTTCTACATGACGAGAGAGAGAGAGAGAGAGAGAGATTAAAAAGGAGAAGGAGAGTGTTATCCATTTTGCTATAAGTTCCTCAATATTAGGAATCTGTTAACCTGTGAAGTGGTGCCAGCTGATCATGGGAATGAAAGGCATGGAGATTGGAGGATAAACAGAGAGGAGTCTATCAATAATCAATTTTGGTTGATTTCCTTCCCATTTGGATTCACCTTAAAAAAAAAAAAAAAAAAAAAAAGTGCATAGCCGGAAGGGGGATGCCATTCTTTTGAATGTGGCGATTTCTTTTTCGAAATTACAAGATTCATTTGGTGGAAAAGACATTTTATGGACTTATTTTTTTTTTTTTTTTTCCCCACTTATGTTGAATGATCACTTACTTATTCATTTATTCACATGCATAAATATATTTCTTGCGCTACTGAATAACTTTGAGGGTTCTTTTGTTGATTATATTAATTTGTTTAGAAGTGGCAGCATTGTTTACTACAAATTATCACTATTTATTTTATTTACGTTTTAGATTTCATCACATATCTAGCGCAAACGTTTTTTTGTTTATATATAAAGCCTGCTGTTGGCTGACGTCACTCAGCCAGTCCAGGCTGGGGAAAGATCCTGACTTTAAAGTCGAGATCCACCACAGAGTCTGGAGCAGCACCTGGCTTACCCTCTCATCGAGTTGCTGAGAATACGGAGCCATCAGCTCCCTCCCCCTCCACAGCCCAGCGCTCTAGTAAGTGCAAGGGGGCAGAGCAGACAGCGGTGATTGACAGTCACCATTCTCTGCTTAGAGCAGCTGTGAGAACTCAGTGATCATGTGATCGCTGAGTTCTCACTTCGAGCCGGTGGGGGACAGATGCAGTATCAGACCGATGCTGCATCCACCTAGGTAAATATAAATGGGGGGAAAAAAAAAAAAACAAAAGCCATACTTCTCTTTTAAGCTTTGACAAAAAATCCTGGAAGCGGATTGGTTTCTATGCAAAGCTGCACCAGATTTTGCACTCTCCAGATTTAGTAAATGAACCCCAGAGTGTTTGCGATAAACGACAATGTATATAAAATAGTGCTGCTGCGTTGTGAATATGAATCAGATAACCGTATGCATATAAATAATGCAAACCAATGTATAAGACATAACAGTAACACAAACGTGCACTGCTAATTTTGACATCAAATTTCGATTTATTTTTAGTCATAGTCTTTTGACTAAATGCCGTTTCAGTTGTATTTTAGTCATGGTAATGGTTTTAGTTTTAGTCATATTTTAGTCTACTAAAATCTCCAGTACATTTTAGTCAAATAAAATCTCCAGTAGCACTGACTCAGTGGAGCAGGAACGTGTGATGGGGGCGGGGGAGTAGATTTAAAAAATTAGATGGGAGTGTGCAGTATAATTTTTGGGGATGGGGAGGTGACCTGAAAGTGGGAATGGGGAGGTAAATGAGGGTGAGGAAGTGCACAGGGCAGGGTGCATTATACTTTGGGGATGGGGAGGTGACCTGCTAGTGAGCAAGTAAATGGGAGGGAGGGAGTGCACAGAGCAGAGAACTGGACGGTCTGGGGAGGCAGTTATTTTACACAGTGCTAAGCACTGTTACCTTGCTGGGAGGGGCTGGTGCTTTAACAGACAGGCAGAGCTTAGTGGAAAGCGAACGTTCAGGTGGGCATACAATCTTGGGGTCTCAGGTTGCCAGTTTTCACGAAGGATTGATATCACACTTTTTATGAATATTTTAGTTGGCTATTGCAGTTTATACACTGGGGCTGTTCTTCACAGACTTAATTTGTGGTTTACTGATCTGTTTGCACACATTACATTTGGATTTCTACATTTGTGTTACTTTGATGTCATATACATCACAGTAACACAAACGTACATTGATTTGCATTATGTATTCACATATGATTCATATTCAAAGCAGAGCATGATTTTATATACATCGTTGCTATATGGCCTGCCTGTCTCAGCCTAGCAACTGTTTAAAATCTTCTCACTCCTCCACCTTATCCCCAAATATACATGAACAGCACTTCATTCTCTTTAATGGAAAAATACAAATGCAGCAGGTCAAGCTGTTGACAAGCTTTATAATAATACTATCATACACAATAAAATACAGAGGGACCAGAGGGCCCCATGAAGGATTAGTGCATTAAAGGAGAAGTTCACCTTTGGAAACACGTTACATCTTCCACCTGTTTTTAGTGTAGAACATGTAACATGTTCCCATAGACGCAGCAACCGCCCCCCCTCCCCTCCCTCTGACAGATAGTATGGGAAGAAGTTTCCCTGGAATATCTGTCAGATTTGAAAACAGCGCGGCCGTGTGGAGCTTTGCCCATGCGATCAGATCATTCCTTCATGGACTTCCGTGAATTAACGAACTGCAAGTCCCGACAGCCTTGACGGCTGTTGGCTTGTAGTTTTCAATGAACTACCACGGCGCTGTGGAGCACTGTGGTAGTTCATTAAAAAGCTTCCTGTCAGCATATCTGCTTGCTCATACATCCCATACTGCAAGCAGGTATTCTGACAGGTCTGCAGGAGACCTGCATGGCGTCAGCTAACTACTGATCACAGGTGCAATGCTGTACAGGCTCCTTTGGACAAAAATAATAAATGCACTTTTTTTACCTGCAAAAAAATGCGCATTTAATATTTTTTTTGTCTAAAAGGTGAACTTATCCTTTAAAGCTGAACTCCCAGAATTCAGCCACTTTGTAAAATGTGCTGAATTACTAGGCATTAATTCCAATGAGGTGCATGCCTCCTTTACTTTACCACCTTCTTAATTTAAATCTGATAGTTTTATGGAGCTCTGGGGGTACAGCTATCACTATACTCCTGGGGCTCTGATAGGAGAGATGCTGTCTTTTCACACACATCATTGCCCTTCCCTTCCCTCTGCTGTTCATTCACAGAATCCTTTGCATTGCGTGAATGAGCTTACATAATACAAAACACTCTGATTGAGCAGGAGGAGTGGGTTCAGCAGCTAAATTAAACTCTACAGCTCCAGAAGCTGGAACCAGAAGGTCCAGCATCAGAGGTCTTGGAGTATAGTGATAGCTATGCTCCTGGTGCTTAGTAAAAAGGTCAACTGTAAATTAAAGTCCACGGGGTATCATGCACCTCTATAGACTTAACCCCTAGTAATCCAGTACAATTTAAAAATGTGGCTGAATTCATTTAAAGCTGAACTCTGGGAAACTGGAAAAAAAAAAAAAAAAACTAACCAACGATGAGGCTTTGTCCCCAGTGCACAGAAAAAAATGCTTACTTTGACACCACAGAGTCTAGAGCAGCACCTGGCATAGGATACCAAAAACAAAAAAAAAAAACTTTTACTGACTCATTACCCTGCAAACCAACACTCACAATGTCATTTATGGGTTGTGCACGAGAGATCATCAGACTGTAACTGCCCTTTGGAGTGCAGAGGGGAAGAAGCTATTCAGGGAACTGACTATATAGAATGAGTAATCCATAGGAGCGAGAAATGAGTATGTTTAGGTGCATTTTACTGGCACCCAAAGCAAAAATGAGCATTTGACTCTTGCAATGTTGGGGAGCACCACTTCAAAGTTTTTCAGTTCCTTGGCATTCAGCTTTAAAGTGGATGTATCAATGAGAGTAACCCCTTCCATTCCCAATGTTTGCAAACTTGCTGCCAGACATTAACAATTCAGCTTTAGAATATCCACCATGCAAAATCAGTGAGCAAATACCCCTCCCAGTCTGTCTCTAGAGACCCAGATGGTCTACAACTGGATGTCACCATCTTGAGTTTTACATAGGATAGTGGTTAAAGTGACCCTAACAGCACAAGGTCACTTAAATGTAGAACAAACCTGCCAAAAGAAGACTGCATGTACTCACCATCCTCTGCAAGTATACCAGGTGTGTGAATAACCAGCTTCCCACAACCATTTACTGTGATTTCCCCTGCCAGCTTGTACATCACTACAGGACGTAAAAAGCTACCAGGAGGTACCATAGTGACAGACAGGGAAACAGATATTTACCCCATATGTACGATCGAATACTTGCAGAAGACAGTGAGCAGCGAAGCTTCCGCTTTTCAATAAATGGTATGTATATGAAGTGATCTTTTTGCAGAAATGTTTTGAATACAAGTGTCCTTGCACTGATAGGTCACTTTAAACCAGTCTTTCAATCACAGACCACATACCTCTACTCTTCCTGTGTCAGTCTTGTGTCACTGCTTTCTGCATATAATAAATCCATGGAGGAGAAGTTAGAATGGGAGATTAAGTCTGGCCATGCGTTATATAATTTTCTTGTACAATTTTTCTTCAGTTTTACCAAAACCATATAGTAATATGAGGTCAAACCTAAACACTTTCAATTTTTATGCAATCAGGCAGTCTCTTGCACTACATAGTTGTAGGTAATTCTACAGGAAATTGAACAATTGTATAATGTAAGGCCATCTTAAGACTTAGGTGTCAGAGTTTGCATGTTAGTGACAGTACTGATTAGTCTTCAAAGGCTGCACTTTTTTGCAGAAACAATGGAGTAAATGAAAAGTAATATGAAGATACTACTATGTTTCCATGCTTGGGAAATGGAAAGGTTTACTTTGAGGCTCAGGTGCTACACACAAAATCCAGAAGTCCCCGTCTACACACAGACAGAAACACACATTACCAAAAACTAAAGCTCCTGCATGTTTAAAACCTACCAAACCACATAAGGAATTACATTAAAAAATACATAAATTAAAACAGAACTGTTTTGAAGCACCTAGTTATAACTGAGCCCTAATGGGATCTTGAAGTTACCTGAAAGGCTCGCAAAAGGACCAGCGGTTCATCCTGTAACAGTCTTTTCACTAGACATGGCCAGATTTTATGTGCAAGTGGCAGAAGCACATCTTCCTGAGAATGTATGGGTAGTAATGATAGCCGCAAAGTGTCCAGGGCCTGAAAAAGGAAGCCATGTAATGAGTGACAGAGGATTAGACACCAAGCATCATTGCATGGAATATGTTCTACCTCTCCAGAGTTGTCCCTTAATAATATATATACCTACGTTTGCGTTTTCACATACTTTCATTTTGAAGGAGAAACGGCTTTCAAAAGGTTCAGCAGCTGCCAGGAGTCAACAGAATGAGAGATACATTTCTACAGCCTTTACACTTCACAGACACTGTGCATGGCCTCACTTTCCTACTCCACTCCTCCCTCAGATGATAGTTACCTGTCCCAAGATCTATACAGTCCCCCCCTCTCTCATTCACAGACATCCTTCAGCATGCTCACCTCCCCCTAGCTAATGGACATTTCTCCCTGCATGCCCACCCTCCCTATCCCCAGCTGACAGTCACCTCTCTCCAATCCCCCTCAGCTAGGAGACATAAATCCACATGGACCCTCCCTGGCTGACTGACATCCCTCCCTGAGCAACCCCCTTCCCAGATGACAGACAACCCCCTGTTTGCCCTCAGCCTCTCCCTCCCTGGCTGACAGACACTGTTCCCTGCCTTCCCCCATAAGCATCCTCCCACTGTCACTATTACCTGGAGGAGCACAGGCACTGCAGTGAAACGCTTTTTGTCACCAAACCTACCTATAGTGAATGCTTCATGCAAAAATAATCTGACAGGAGTTATAACTCTCCCTTACCCTACGCAAAATAAAAAAAAAAAAAAAAAGTTTTGCCTACAAATCTACCTTAAGATATCAGTCCATTTAACCTGTCTTTAATGGGAAACTAGAATGTATCTTAGCATTTTCTAAACATATTTGCTAGTAGCATATAATCCTTAGGAAACTTTGTAGATTTCAATTCATAGTGCATGCAGTGTTGTGTTTTTCATGATCACATACAGATCTGGAGGTATGCTATATGGCCAAAAACATTTGGACAGCTGCCATTTAGACTATATTAGTTTTTGGAACATGCATTTCCAAAGCCATATTGAGTTGTCATCCTCTGCGAACATAATGGCCTCCATTCTGGATAGTTGTGCTCACTCCAAAAATAATTTGTGAAGTCAGGTATTGACATTGGACAAAAACAGCAATGACTAGCTTGCAATAAACATTTCAATTAATTCTAGTGGTGTTCATTGGGTTAAGATCAGGGCTCTGTACAGGTAACCTAATTTATTCTAAACCAAAGTCTTTATGGAGCGGCCTTTTTACACAGGGGCACAGTCATGCTAGAACAGAAAAGGGTCTTCTCTAAACAGTGGCCACAAGGCTGGAAGTACACAAATATTTAAAATGTGTTTTTATGCTGTAGCATTAACAGTATCCTTCACTGCAAATACCTGAGCTCAATCATTTATGCAGGCCATAGACGGGTCATTTATCGGCCGAATTTTCGTCCACACGAAAAATCGTCCAATAATCACGCCGTTATTGGGGCCAGCCCATCGGCCGTTTTTCGCGGATCTCCTCATTTATTTTTATCGGTCATGCTGGAAAGTCTGCGAAAAATGACCGTTTTTCGTGGACATGGGTGGCAGCATTGGCAACGGGGCCAACTGATTTTTCGTTTATCGGCCGAAAATTCAGCAGATAAACGGCCGACAATGGCCTGCCTTAGAGGGGGAGTCCATATAGTAGGTGTGATGGTCAGGTGTCCACAAACCTTTGGTCCTATAGTGTATGCTAGTCCTTTATATTCCTTGTTATCAGTATGCAAGTCCTTTATATTCCTTGTTATCAGTATGCTAGTCCTTTATATTCCTTGTTATCAGTATGCTAGTCCTTTATATTCCTTGTTATCAGTATACAAGTCCTTTATATTCCTTGTTACCAGTATCCTAGCTAAATGATTGCAGCCCACTCCCAACCACTGGGGTCACACTTTCCTTGTGCACAGTCTTTTTTTTTTTATAAATATTTATTAATTTTCATCCAAAAATACAAAACACAAACACCTATTTCTGTAAAAAAACACATCAAATCGATATATTCTTATTGACATAATTTATCTATATCTCATTTCCCCTACCCTCCCTCCCCCCCCCCCCCCCCCACTCTGCATTTCTCTTCTCTAAAAACCATTTCTAAAATCCATTTTTATTTCGAGGGGTATAAAACAATCATATATTTCACTTTTTCTCTATATTCTTCCCATTTTTTCCACTTTATATTATATTTCTCCATCATATCTATATGCATATAATACAATCTTTCCGTCGCACAAATCTGATTCATTCTGACCATCCAATCTTCCTCTGTTGTCACCTCCCTTTTTTTCCAGAACCTATGTATAAGACTCTAAGCTGCGCTCAAGAAATACTATATTCCTGAATCCTTATATGATCTCACTGAAAGCTCTGTGACAAGGAGAAGACATAGCTCTGGATCCAATCTAATGTCAATCTCAGTAATTTTCCTTACTAAGTAAACAATTTTCCTCCAAAACACCTGTATCTTTAACCACTTCCAGACCGGACAGTTTTACCCCCTTCCTGACCAGGGCAATTTTCAGCTTTCAGCGCCATCACACTTTGAATGACAATTGCGCGGTCATGCAACACTGTACCCAAATGAATTTTTTACCATTTTTTTGAGACAGATAAAGCTTTATTTTGGTGGTATTTATTCACCGCTGGGATTTTTATTTTTTTTGCTATTTAAATGAAAAGTTTTTTTTATAAAATTTTGCAAATAAACATTTCATCATAAATCTTTACCAAAATTTATTCCGTTATCTTTTTAGTAAAAAAAAAAAAATACAAATTAGTTAATAACCAAAAATTATAATTTTTAAACTTTTTTTTTACATTTTCATTTTTTTTTTATATAATTTTTTTTTTTTTTTTTTTTTATAACTGTCACCCTAGCAGTACAGTGTCACCATGGTGACACTGTACTACTTTTTTTTTTTTTTTTTTTTTTTTAAGTCCGCAAACGTGCAACTATATCGAAAAAACCCGTAAGTGTCCGCAAAAAAGTGCAAGTGCAAAACACCACACGAAAAACGTGCATTTAGGGGTGTGTTTGTCCTACCCCCGAAAGGGTTGGACCGTTCGCCTGATCCCCCGGGGCACGAAGCTCCTGACAGGGACAAGGTTCCCATTTGGTCCTCCTGGCCAAAAGGCCTGGTGGACCACCGTTCCTTATGCCCAGCCGAAGCCGGACATCCAGTACTAGGCGAGGGGGTTCTCCCGAAGAGAAAACCCCCTAGGGATCAGGGGAGGAAGGAACCGTATGGCCACACATCCTCCCCCTAGACTTCAGGTAAGGCCCGAGGACCCACACCCTCCATCCGTGAAAAACACACACATAAGAACAGAAAAAGTGGCAAAACGTGGGAGTGGTAAATAAATAAATAAATAAATAAATAAAAAAGTGGTACCGTGCCTAATAGTGCACAGACCAGGCCCTGAGGCCTGTAGCAAAAATTGCCCCGGACTTAGCCAAAAGACCTGGTCCTAAGGGCGCTGTGCAAAAAGAAGTGAAAAACAGTGGCCATGTGTCATCTTCACACCGTGGGGTCCCACACCCAAGTGTTACTAGTGACACCCCTGAGAGCGTCTTCCCCAGGGGGCACTGAGTTTGCGGACTTTTTGCGTCCCCAGCCCCAGGCCAGACCAAGGTAGCATGTTCAGATCAGGAGGTACTGGGTCTTTCCAGTCTCCCCAGAGGGATTACTCCCAAGGCCCCAGAACGAATCATGGCGCTCCCTGGTTTCTGTCCCTCCGGTACTAGCCTTCCGGACCCCCATCATACCAGTGAGGGTACTATACAACAACCATCCCCGTAAACTAGAATGGTCGGGAGCACCCCCACTGGACACTGATAAGAACAGATTTTTTTTTTTTTTTTTTTAAGTCCGCAAACGTGGAACTATAACGTAAAAAACCCGTAAGTGTCCGCAAAAAAGTGCAAGTGCAGAAACACACACACGAAAAACGTGCACTTAGGGGTGTGTTTGTCCTACCCCCGAAAGGGTTGGACCGTTCACCCGATCCCCCGGGGCACGAAGCTCCTGACAGGGACAAGGTTCCCATTTGGTCCTCCTGGCCAAAAGGCCTGGTGGACCACCGTTCCTTATGCCCAGCCGAAGCCGGACATCCAGTACTAGGCAAGGGGGTTCTCCCGAAGAGAAAACCCCCTAGGGATCAGGGGAGGAAGGAACCGTATGGCCACACATCCTCCCCCTAGACTTCAGGTAAGGCCCGAGGACCCACACCCTCCATCCGTGAAAAACACACACATAAGAAAGCAAAAAGTGACAAAACGTGGGAGTGGTTTAAATAAATAGAATAAAATAAAAAAGTGGGTACCGTGGTACCGTGCCTAATAGTGCACAGACCAGGCCCTGAGGCCTGTAGCAAAAAATTGCCCTGGACTTAGCCAAAAGACCTGGTCCTTAGGGCGCTGTGCAAAAAGATGTGAAAAAACAGTGGCCATGTGTCATCTTCACACCGTGGGGTCCCACACCCAAGTGTTACTAGTGACACCCCTGAGAGCGTCTTCCCCATAAGAACAGATACTACACTTGATCTTAGCCAAAAGGCCGAGAAGCAAAAGCGAGAGTCAGCTGGAAACTATTGGCAACCTATAGTAGCAGGGGACACTGTACTACTTGTGGGGGTGATGAAGATTTTTTTTTTTTTTTACACCCATATAGGATGTAAAAGCAATCATTTCTCTTTCTCTCTGTGTGCATTCCTGCACTCATTGAGAACTACTGAGTGAGCTGTGATTGGTCACAGCTTGTCACATGGTACAAGGCTGTTGTGAATAGCCTTGTACCATGTGACCTCTGTGATCATTCACAGATTTCACACGTAGTAAGCAATGATGTCACAAGTGACATCTTGCTTACTACTTTGCATGTGATCACTGATTGGCCAACCAGTGATCACATGATCGGGACCTCGTACAGAGGTCCTGTCCGACAATCGGTGTTTCACTGTGTCCGGAGGACACAGCGGGCACCGGATCGCGGTGCTGCGTGCTCCGAGGGAGCGCGCACAAGCAGGGTGTGGGGAGGCCGTTTTATAAATGGCCACCCGACCCTGCACTGCCACCGTCCGGCCGTTTATATACAACGCCCGGTCGGGAAGTGGTTAAACACTCCCACCATATGTGATATAACGTACCCACTTCACCACATCCTCTCCAACACAATGGTGAAATCTCCCCGTTCAATTTGTGTTCCACATTTGGTGTGATGTGCCATCTTACTAAACACTTATAGTTCAACTCCACTTCCCGATGCTAATATTTTCGTGAATTAATCTAAGCATTTTCCTCTGCTGCTCCTCATCTATTTCCCTTCCCATATCTTTTTCCCACTTCTCTATATATATTAATTTTGTGCCCGTGCCATACCTGTACTCGGATCTGTGGATCACTGTGCGACAAGAAGTGGGTACATTTCTCTGCCACCTCTTTGGAAATCTTCATATGCATGGCCAGTGGTGGCTTTGCCTCTTCTTTGGCTTCGTCTGGTGGGGGTAAAAGGTCTAAATAGCAGAAAGCAAGAAAAACATAACATTAGGGATCTCATCACAAAGAAAGTGTTGGAAAAGGCCAATATTTATTTTTTGCAATGGAAAAGTTGCCAGGTCGTAATAGGCTGCTAACTTAAATGCCAGCGTTTCAGAAAAAGCAAAGCTGATGGTTTTTTCTGTCTACTCTAGCATTTATCACATATCTGGTGTGTTGTGACCTGACATCCTGGTGCCTGTATGAGTTTACAGAAGTCTAGAAAGCACAGTACCAAAATGTTCCACCTAAAGGAAAACACTTCTTTCTTAAAAAACATAATTGCTATAAAAGCTTTTTGATTATTTGAAGTAAAGCAAAATGCCATTTCTATTTCAATCTGCAAAGTATGGTTTTCTAAAATTGGCTAAAATGCTAGTTTTGCTTTCCTGCAACCATGGTAACAGTACTATGAAGATATTCATATCTCAGAATATTTAGATCTTGTTCCCTGCTCATATGATTGGCTCAATGCTGTGCCCTAAAATAAGTACAACATTTGAGGTGTGTGCATATATATCGTCCCCATCTCAGTTTGAGAAAGTTATTACAATGAATACTCTGTATTTACAGACCAGAATCATGGAATTAATCTGCAAGGAAGTTTACTAAGATTCTTGCAAAGAATATTGGAAGAAGATTGCATTATATTTTTTTTCTTAGCCAAAAATTGGACTTTTAATTGAAACTTTACTCTTGCAAGCAACATTAACTATTAATTATTTCAGGTACTTATACAGTGCCGACAATTTACTTGGTGCTTTACATATTTTATACATTCACATCAGTCTCTATCCCAAACGAGCTTAAAATCTAAGGTCCCCAACTCACATTCATACATACACATACCAGGGCTAATTTACACCAGAGCCAAATAACCTACCAGAATGTCTTTGGAGTGTGGGAGGAAACCGGAAAACCCTGAGCAAACAAATGCAGACACAGAGAACACGCAGACCCAAGGGTGGTAGTAAATGGGACGCAAATTTGAATTGAAGTCAATAGGGGGGGGGGGGGGGGGGCATTTTTGCATTAGCGTCAATGGGGAGGGGGGGGGGCATTAGCGTCATTGGGGGGGGGGGGGCGTTTTTGCATTGGCGTCAATGAGGGGGGGGGCGTTTTTTGCATTGGCGTCAATTGGGGGGGGGGCGTTTTTTTGCATTGGCGTCAATGGGGGGGGGGGCGTTTTTGCATTGACGTCAATTGGGGGGGGGGCGTTTTTGCATTGACGTCAATGGGGGGGGGGGGGGGGCGTTTTTTTGCATTGACGTCAATGGGGGGGGGGCGTTTTTGCATTGACGTCAATGGGGGGGGGGGGGCGTTTTTGCATTGACGTCAATGGGGTGGGGGGGGGGGGCGTTTTTGCATTGACGTCAATGGGGGGGGGCGTTTTTGCATTGGCGTCAATGGGGGGGGGGGGGCTTTTTGCATTGGCGTCAATGGGGGGGGGGGCGTTTTTGCATTGGCGTCAATGGGGGGGGGGGGGGTTTTTTGCATTGGCGTCAATGGGGGGGGGGGCGTTTTTGCATTGGCGTCAATGGGGGGGGCGTTTTTGCATTGGCGTCAATGGGGGGGGCGTTTTTTTGCATTGGCGTCAATGGGGGGGGGCGTTTTTGCATTGGCGTCAATGGGGGGGGGGGGCGTTTTTGCATTGACGTCAATGGGGGGGGGGGGGCGTTTTTGCATTGACGTCAATGGGGGGGGGGGGGGCGTTTTTGCATTGACGTCAATGGGGGGGGGCGTTTTTGCATTGACGTCAATGGGGGGGGGGGGCGTTTTTGCATTGACGTCAATGGGGGGGGGGGGGGGCGTTTTTTTTGACGCAATTGTGCATTGACGTCAATGGGGGGGGGGGGCGCGTTTGTGCATTGACGTCAATGGGGGGGGGGGGGGCGCGTTTGTGCATTGACGTCAATGGGGGGGGGGTTTTGTGCATTGACGTCAATGGGGGGGGGGGGCGCGTTTGTGCATTGACGTCAATGGGGGGGGGGGGGCGCGTTTTGCATTGACGTCAATGGGGGGGGGGCGTTTGTGCATTGACGTCAATATGGGGGGGGGGCGCGTTTGTGCATTGACGTCAATGGGGGGGGGGGGGGGCGCGTTTGTGCATTGACGTCAATGGGGGGGGGGGCGCGTTTGTGCATTGACGTCAATGGGGGGGGGGGGGCGCGTTTGTGCATTGACGTCAATGGGGGGGGGGCGCGTTTTTGCATTGACGTCAATGGGGGGGGGGCGCGTTTGTGCATTGACGTCAATGGGGGGGGGGCGTTTTTGCATTGACGTCAATGGGGGGGGGGGGGGGCGTTTTTGCATTGACGTCAATGGCGGGGGGGGGCGTTTTTTTGCATTGACGTCAATGGGGGGGGGGCGTTTTTGCATTGGCGTCAATGGGGGGGGGGCGTTTTCGTGCATTGGGGGGGGGCGTTTTTGCAATGACGGGGGGGGGGCGTTTTTGCATTGACGTCAATGGGGGGGGGGGGCGTTTTTGCATTGACGTCAATGGGGGGGGGGCGTTTTTTTGCATTGACGTCAATGGGGGGGGGGGCGTTTTTGCATTGACGTCAATGGGGGGGGGGGGGGCGTTTTTTGCATTGACGTCAATGGGGGGGGGGGGGGGGGGGGCATTGACGTCAATTTTTGCATTGACGTCAATGGGGGGGGGGGGCGTTTTTGCATTGACGTCAATGGGGGGGGGGGGGGACGCAATGGGGGGGGGGGGCGTTTTTGCATTGACGTCAATGGGGATTTTTGGGGGGGGGGGGCGTTTTTGCATTGATTTCAATGGGGGGGGGGGCATTGACGTCAATGGGGGGGGGGGGGGCGTTTTTGCATTGACGGGGGGGGGGGGCGTTTTTGCATTGACGTCAATGGGGGGGGGGGCGTTTTTGCATTGACGTCAATGGGGGGGGGCGTTTTTGCATTGACGTCAATGGGGGGGGGGGCGTTTTTTTGCATTGACGTCAATGGGGGGGGGGGGCGGCGTTTTTGCATTAACGTCAATGGGGGGGGGGCGTTTTTGCATTGACGTCAATGGGGGGGGGGGCGTTTTTGCATTGACGTCAATGGGGGGGGGGGGGGGGCGTTTTTGCATTGACGTCAATGGGGGGGGGGGCGTTTTTGCATTGACGTCAATGGGGGGGGGGGCGTTTTTGCATTGACGTCAATGGGGGGGGCGAATTTGCATTGAAGTCAATAGGGGCGAATTTGCATTGAAGTCAATATGGGGCGCAACTTCCATTGAAGTCATTAGGGGGAGTTTTGACATTGAAGTCAATGGGACATGATTTTGCATTGAGGTCAATAGGAGGTGATTTTGCATTGAAGTCAATGGGAGATAATGTATGAACCCAGGTACCAGGCTGCAATTTCTACTCAACATGGCGACCTGGTACCTGGGATTTGTCGAGCCCTGCATTAGGACAATTTTTAGTGTATCATTAACATGTTAAACATTTGTGTAGGGCTAGAGCAAAGTCAGACTGAAAATAAGGGGGAACAGTTCCAACTACACAAGTCACCTCTCAAGCATCCCAGCATAAAGCAATGCATGTATCAGAAAAGCACAGCTGTCTTATTAGGAATATGGCAAAGTCCTTTGTTGACTTGTTTCTGAAGATGCATTCTCCAGGGCTGTCCTCCTTATCTTTCCTTTACTGCTTGGTCAATACAGACTTGGAACAAACACAAGCAAGCGTCATACATGTTTCCAGATCAGAAATGGCAGCTCTCATATTTTGCTCTTACAGATACATTTTTTCCAAATGAAATGGAAACGACTCTCTTGTTTCTGATATCTCCAGGGGTTACCTTGCCCTCTTCCTGGTTACTGACATGAATCTCCAGCTCTGCCTATTTGCGAAAAACAGGAACTGGTGTGTCTGTAGCTAAATACAACACTCTCCATAGTATTTCTGGATTAAAATTCAGTCCATATGAAAATGTACATACCAATGAGACATGATGGAGTTGATTTACTAAAACTGGGGAGCGCAAAACCTGGTGCAACTCTTCCTAGAAATCAATCAGCTTCCAGGGTTTGTTTTTTTGTCAAAGCTTAATTGAACAAGCTGAAGTTAGAAGCTGATTGGCTCCCATACACAGCTGCACCAGATTCTGCATTCTCCGGTTTTAGTAAATCAATCCTAATACCTGCCAATGCAAGCTACAGTAAGTAGGATCGTTGCAGCTTAAGAAGGAAATACTTTTCTAAGAGCAACACAACCTAAAGCCAACTCTCACCATGCAAGGAGCAGCTATTAGTAATTTGATTACCTTCAATGTCTCCTTCTTCCATCTCTCCTCTTGCTAACCGATATTGCTGTATATGACCCTGTAGAAACTCTTTAATTTCATGTGCCATGTTCCCACAATGCAACCGAGACTCGGACATAAAAGTCAATGGTAGCTCTTCAGTACTCTCTGGTGGAGGGAACCACTTCCCTGCAGGTGAAAGGATAAAAGACTTCTAAATGCAAAATGTCTGAAGAAAGAAACTTTCCTGCTGCCCTCAGCAACTCGAATCGTAATTTCATTCTGCAATAGAACTGGGAAAATGGGCCACTTGCATATAAGTATCTGAAGGAAAAAAAGTTTGAATTGCCAGAGGAACCAATCAGATTCTCTCTTTTCATGTCTGCTGTGCACTTTAGAGAGGAGAGGGAGATTCTTGTTGGGTGACCAGGACAACACTAATTCTTCTTTAAGACATGTTGGTAAATAGGGACAAATCTGTCCAAAATCATTTAGGTTAGAATATTTAAAGCTTAAAGTGTTTTGGAATGGGATTTCCACCAATTACAAGCATAACTAACCCCCGGTTCACATCTATGTGGCCGTGTGGGCCATGTTTTGCACGGGCACGAGAGCCCATTCATTTGAATGGACTCCTGTTCCCATGACACGCAGGGAAAGAAGTCCCTGCACTTCTTCCGAAAACGCAACCCGTACGGGAACCTCGGTTCCCAGTACAGTTGCGTTTTTCCAGTGGGGGCGGCATGCCGTTAGAACTAATGGCACGCCGCCCGCAGGTCTGCATTTTTCTGTGCGGGTGGTGTCATGCTGATCTGCAGCGGTACCACCCGCACAGATGTGAACCTAGGGTAAAGGTTAAACTGTTTTTTTTAGTTTTGATAGAGTGGAGAGAGATGAGAACAGCTATCAGATTTATATTGCTGTCTGTTCCCCAATAGGAATATTCACCCTCTATATTTATCCCGTTTACCGTTATCGCAAAGATTGGAAGTGAAACAGAAAATCCTGAATTGTCTGTTGTCACCAGAGCAGGATTAGAGGGAAAATATTCCAATAGGGACAACCAGGGATTCCCCCACTTTCCGGTTTGGCTATGGGACAGGAAGTGAAAGAAATCTACCCAACAGGGGCACAGATGGCAAAAACAACTGACAGGGGTTATATTCTCTATTCAAAATGAAAACAAAATGTTTTTAGTTCGATTTCATATAGGTCTGATGATCTGGTATCCACAAACCTCTAACCATATAGTGTAGTATATTATCACGTTAAAATTGTTGAATTGTACTCTAGAGTGAGACGTCAGCATTGCATTACCTAATCTCTTGACAAGACTACTCAACACAGGAAAAAGCAGTTTAGCTCCATCATTCTGTGAATGGTCCAATGCTGGAAGTAGGTCCTGCACAAGCTCATGGAGCACTGGAAGAAGACTTGGACTACAATTATCTAACATAGCATGCAATACTCGTGCAGCACTGCCGTGATGTCTTTGAAGGCGACGTAGGCCAATAGAAACCTCACTTGCCAAGTAATCTGCATTGAGCTCAATAAGCTGCTGGATATCTTTGTAGCCACAGGCTTGGCTGACATCTGCCAAAGTCACTAGTGCAGTTCCACTAACCAATAAAGAAGGATCACCAGCTTTCTCTAGTAGGGGGTACAGAGCAGTAATAAGGAGTTGGCGAAAATTAGTACCGAGGGCACGAGCAATGCATGAAATTCCCTCCAGCTGGAGGCACAACTTCCAGGCATTGGCATTCAAGCCACTTATTGCTGAATTAGGCTTTTGGCCAACATGGAGTAAGGCCATCTGATCTACCACTTCCTGAGTACTCTGGCAAGTGTATAGATGCCAGTTGGCTGGATCTGTGTACTCTTCCAGAAGTGGGCGCATTGCATCCAAAAGCACAGCAGCTTCCAGGATCTTGTTGCCACCATGAAGCACTTCAACTTCAATACCAGCTGCTCCTAACACTAGCTGGTTCAGTACAATCAGAGCAGGGAGTCTCTGGGCACGGGTATAACCCCAAAAAGTGGTCTGTAAGCAAGTAAATATCTCCGTAGTATCCTAAAAGCCTGCAAACGTGTTGAAGATAGGAAATAATACGTGGGTCCCTGAAGAAGCGGAAATTCTTCTGCTGAGGTCCAGTGTGTTCTATGTTCTCTTGTGTAAGATTGGCAACAGAAGAGGGAAGTCTTTCTTCCACCACCTTGACTGAGCACAAATCCAACTCTAAAGTCTGCAGAAGAGCAGAAGATAGCCGCTGAAGATGGGCAGAAGAGTGAAGAGTGAATGTAAGCCTTGGGCCAAGCAGCTGAAGATATCCAAGAAGTAGTGCTAGAGTGTGGACCTTCCCTTGGTCATCTTGACAGCTCAAGAGCCTTGGAAGTCTCACAGCCAATGAATGAAGGCTTTCTGACAACACTTCTCCAAGTGTCCTTGAAGCTGGAACATCATTTCCAATCTTCAGCAGAGCCTCATTTGACTTTTCTTTGACTTCAGGCCTGTCATCATTCATGTGCCCAACCAATATACGTAAAAGGCTTCCTGCAGCACCTTTTAACGATATCCAGCAAGATCTAATCAAGAGATCAGCTAGGTCCACCAGAGCCATCCTTACTTTCCAATGTGGATCAGTAGTGCAACGTTCTGTTAACTTTTCCAGATGAAACAACAAGCGACTAGCAGAGTTTTTCACCCAAGATTTTTCCCTGTGGACTAAAAGTTCTGCCACACGGGCCGACAGCCCCGGGTAACGAGGTTTCTTTTCTGGAACCTTTGCCAGACTTTCATCAGACATCACCAAGCTTACGATTCTAGCCCATAGCTTGATTGCAGCAGTTGTTAACCTGTATCCTTGCTTAGGATCTCCACAGATGACTCTGGTCAAGACGGTACAGACTCCGGGAAGAAAAGAAGCAAAGAGGTCACCCAAAGAATAGTTTTGCTTGACCTCTGGAAACAGCAATCTCTCCAGACAGTTCAAAGCCTCCAGCCGAATTTCACGTGATTTCTCCAACTCTGCAAGTCTAAGAAGGAGTGTGATGGCAAAGCCCATCTCAGGAAGCCCTGATGGTTTATAGAGCACAGGTAGGACATTCACCCCTGAGGATCGAAGAAGAGACTGCATAGCAAAAACTACTGCCAGCTTCAGCTCCTCAGGAACTGGCTGACTAAGATCAGGTGGAAGGCAGCTGCAGACTTCATCAAACATCTCCTTTAGGGATACTGCAGTTTTTACATGAGTCTGAGATAGAAGATATGAAATGCATTCCAGCACAGCTTGCACCAAACCAGGCTTTTTTGGCCCAGGTGTCTTGAGAGAAAATCTCAAAGGGAATAGGACGTAATCCAAGAGATCTTGAAGGGCTAGCACATCAGTACATGAGATCTGTTTACGTAGGTTCTGAACATTCTGCAGTGTCTGTTCCATCGTCAGCTGGACACAAAATGGACGGAGACTTTCAAAGGCACCAGTCTTAAATGCCATGGTTTCTATTTCATAGGTGGCAAATCAAGATGAACGTTACCTAAATAGATTAAAATATAGATTAATATATGTATGAATGAAATGTTACCTACGTGACTAATTAAAATCCATCATAACATTTGTCAGTCAATAGTATTTCAAGTTTGGAATCTACTTACTACTTTTTACCGGATTATGTAGAGTGAAGGAAATAAATATTTATTCCCCTGCTGATTTTGAAAGTTTGCCCACTCACAAAGAAATTATCAGTCTAAAAATCGAATGGTAGGTGTATTGTAACACAGAGACAAAATAGCAACACAAAATTCAAAAGAAATTCATGTCTAACAAATTATGCACTGATTTGTATGTTCATGAGGGCAATAAGCATTTGATCTCCTATCATTCAGCAGGATTTCTGGCTGCCAGGTGTATTTCATACAGGTAACAAGCTGAGATTAGAGCCAGTCTCTTATAGGGAGTGCTGCTAATCTCATTTTGTTACCTGTATAAAAGACACCTGTCCACAGGAGCAATCAAACAGATTCCAAACTCTCCACCATGGCAAAGACCAAAGAGCTGTCCAAGGATGTCAGGCACAAGATTGTAGACCTACACAAGGCTGGACTGGGCTACCAAACTATCCCCAAGCAGCTTGGTGATAAGGTGACAACAGTTGGTGCAATCATTCGCAAATGGAAGAAACACAAAACTACTGTCAGTCTCTCTAGGTGTAGTGCACCATGCAAGATTTCACCTCATGGAGTGTCAATGATCATGAGAACAGTGAGAAATCATCCCAGAACTACACGTGAGGATCTTGTCAATGATCTCCAGGCAGCTGGGACCACAGTCACCAAGAAAACAATTGGTAACACTAACTGACAAGGATTGAAATCCTGCAGTGCCCACAAGGTCCCTCTGCTCAAGAAAGCATATGTCCAGGCCTGTCTGAAGTTTGCCACTGAACATCTGAATGATGCAGAGGGAGGACTGGTTGAAAGTGTTGTGGTCAGATGAGACCAAAATCGAGCTCTTTTGCATCAACTCAACTTGCAGTGTTCGGAAGAGGAGGAATGCTGCCTATGACCCCAAGAACACCATCCCAACTGTCAAACATGGTGGTGGAAACATTCTACTTTCAGGGTGTTTTCCTGCTAAGGGGACAGGACAACTGCACTGCATCAAAAGGATGATGGACGGGGCAATGGACCATCAAATCTTGGGTGAGAACCTTCTTCCATCAGCCAAGGCATTGAAAATGGGTTGTGGATGGGTGTTCCAGCATGACAATGACCCAAAACACACGGCCAAGGCAACAAAGGAGTGGCTCAAGAAGTACATTAAGGTCCTGGCTTAGCCAAGCCAGTCTCCAAACCTGAATCCGATTGAAAATCTGTGGAGGGAGCTGAAAGTTCGAGTTGCCAAACGTCAGCCACCAAACCTTAATGACTTGGAGAGGATCTGCCAAGAGGAGTGGGCCAAAATCCCCTCCTAAGATGTGTGCAAACCTGGTGGCCAACTACAGGAAACGTCTGACTTCAGTGATTTCTTGTTGCTATTCTGTCTCTGTGTTACAATACACCTACCATTCGATTTTTAGACTGATCATTTCTTTGTGAGTGGGAAAACATTCAAAATCAGCAGGGGATCAAATACTTATTTCCTTCACTTTATCTTCTCACTGTTTCTAGTTCCTGAATTTCTAGTATGATAAAACTGATCCAGGCAAATATTAAAATACAATTTTATATTTTCATTAAAAAGATTTTCTATTGGAGTTTGTATAAAGTACCTGAAGTTGTCAAAGCAAAAAATATAAAAAAAAGCTAGCCTGATCTAGCCCTCGTTCACACAGGAGAACTTGGGTGTACTCCCGTGAGAGGGCCGAGTTTTTCAATGCGAGATGCACAGGTGTTCCACACATCCATGTGCAGGCAGCCCCATTTATATTTATCGGGAGCACGGGCAGCACAAAGACACTGCTCCTCCCAATTTGACATCCGTTTGGCTGTGTCCCTGAACTCACACTGTGCATGTCTCTGCACACAGACCTGCACTCACACAGATGTCAAATTGGAAGCAGCGGCTGTATCCGTACAGCCGCTGCTCCCAATTAATATGAATGGGGCTACCTGTGCATCCTGTGTGGGCAAACACAGCCCTCTCACAAGAGTACACTTAGGTATGCCTGTGTAAGCGAGGCCTTATGGTTATGAAACTACATTTGCTTGGTATGTTTATTTGGTTATCCAGTTCCCACTGGCCATTTGCATGTACAGTATGCAGTGGTAGGGCAGATGGACCTCAACAGACAGCCGCCACACAGGTGGACAGCTGCTCTGGGATGACGGGTCGGCAAACCCAGATCGTGATCAACAAGTTGTCAACCTGCCATCCCAGAACATCAGAGAGTGCCGAGCCAGTGCCTGCAGTCACATACACTGCACTTTTGCAATGGGCATATTAGCACTAGGGTTGCATCGACACCATTATCGGTGCCAATACTAAGCATTTGTAAGAGTACTCGTGCAAATGCTCTGATACCTGAAACTGATACCTTTGCGGTGGGGTTTTAAGCCCATACAAAATGAATGAGCTCAAATCGTGTTGTAAAGAAATCGCATGTGATTTCCCACATGGAAGAAACATATATTTGAAATATATTTAAAAAACATTCTTCCCAAATATATTGACATAAATTTGAAATGCTACTATTTTGGCCATATTCAATATATATATATAATATATATATATATATATATACACACACATATATATACATATACATACACACATACATACACACACTGTATGTTGAAATGCGTTATTACAAAATATATGAAAACATTTTTAAAAAATACATTTCAAATTTACTGTATGTCTTTAAAAATACAAATCTACATTTTTGGAATGCATTTACAAATATGTAAAAATAAATGTTAAAAATACTTTGTTGGAAAAAAAAAAAATCTGAATATATTTAAAAAAAAAAAAGTATATTTGAAATGTA